ACTTTCACATGGCGATTCAAATTCTATACGATGCAGTGAAAGTATTGATATTCGATAATGCGACATAGTATACCACAAGAAATTTGAGGAGTACCTGTCAGCCCAAGTGATATATCATCAAACTAAAAGTCTATACACACCGACACAATACAGAGTCATGGAGGTAGCCCGAAGTATGACGAGCTCGATGAATGCCCCAAAGCACTTGTCGGGGCAAACGATCAACCACTCAGTTGATCAATGAAATGCTCTCAAGAGTTTTGGAGTGACAATCTTCTTGTAAGTTGTTGAAAGGAGATGGTGGCGGGATACTCCTATTAAAGGTATTTGGTTGTGTGTGTATTGTGAATGATATAGACCATCAAAAGGGAAGCTAGATCTTAGACTTGTGAAATGTGTTTTCGTGGGTTATTCTGCCACTCAGAAGAGGTAGTTGGAGTCCAATAAAGAAGAGACTATTTATGAGCACAGATGTGATTTTTAGAGAATTCGAACTGTACTACACCTTGGAGGCCACCTCACATTATTCTATCACTCAAAAGGGATATATTTATTGGAGCCCAACAGTAAAGAGATTATTTGTAAGTATGGATGTGAAATTTAGACAATTTAAACCATACTACACCTTAGAGGTGACCTCACCCTTTGGTGACTCGTTAGATGTTGGAGGTATGAGGCGATAGGTGGAGAGCAGTGATGGTGAGAGATTGGTATAAGTGGGAATGATACCTTGTCTAAATGTGAGGGAAGTATAGGGTGAGGAGGCTTGTCTCGTTGTAAGGGAAGGGTCGGTTGAGGAAGAGCCAAAAAAATGAGGAAAATGAGCCTAAAGGTAGTGGGATTCAAGCTTAAGTGGAGATGTGAGAGGGCATACAAGGAGGAGGCAGTGAGAGAACAGTGCATGCAGTGTCACTTGCGTCATCAAGTTTCTTGTTTTGGTCTATTCCGACTTCTGAGGCATCTACACTATTCTCCTCAAAATCAAATTGCACTAGTGATATGATTTGTTTCTCTTTTTCTCCCACTCCCACGACTTTAAGGGTGATCTCTCGCAGTAATTCTGGGCATTTTCTTGATCTTTTTGGTTTCCCACATGACATTGTTCAGTTTGTCTCATACTCTAACTTATTGCATATACACAGACATTCATTGAATTTTTGGACAGTGTTTCTATATCCAAGCATGGGTAGGTAGCTAAGAGGATCCAAAGTGGAATGTTGTCATGTTGGAGGAACTTGGTGCTATCGATAAGAACATGACTCGAGAGCTCACGTCGGTACGAGCAGGGAGAAAGGTAGTCGCGTGCAAATGGCACTTCACAGTGCAATAGATCTTAGATTGAAAAATTTATCGCTATAAAACATGGTTGGTGATGAAAGGGTATAGTCAGACGTATGACATCTATTATGATGAAACATTTGCACTAGTGGTGAAGATGAGCATAATCAAGACACTCTTCTCTCTGGCTATGAATAGTAGATGAAGATTATACCAATTTGATGTAAAGAATGTGTTTCTTCATGGGGATTTGCTATAGGTGTACATGGAAATTCCCCAAGGCTTTAGCACAAACCAAGCAGTGGGCAAGTTATGTTGATTGAGGAAGTCACTGTATGGTTTTAAAGTCTCCTTGAGCTTGATTTGATAAGTTTGGGATAACAATAGTAGACATGTGTTATCAGCAGATCAATGTTGACCACACCGTGTTCTTTCGACGACATGATGGTCACACTACTATGCATGCCATGTATGTGGATGTTATGATCATCACTGGTAATAATGAGGGATAGATTCCTTAGCTGAAGCCAAGATTGGTCAAAGAGTTTGAGGTGAAGGACCCATGTCAACTTATATATTTTCTTGGGATTGAAGTGGCTCGTGGATCAGAGGAGATTGTTATATCTCAAAAGAAGCATATGCTAGACTTGCTCATAGAGACATAAATGTTGGAATGCGAGACCGTGATTTCACCAATTTGATCAGAAGAGAAAGTTGAGCGCAGAGGCAGGAGATCAGTTGATTGTGAGAGATATTAGAGGTTGGTAGGTCGTCTCATCTATCCGAGTTAGTCTTGCCTTGCCATATCATTTAGAGTAAGCGTGGTGAGTTGTTGTATGCATAATCCGAATAAGGGCCACATTGATGCAGTTTATAAATTTTGAGGCACCTGACGAGTGTACCAGGGAAGGGGTTGATCTTCAGGATGAATGGGCATTAAGGCATGTAGACATTAGGAGCTACTATGACTCAGATTGGGCTAGTTGTGCTAATGCTAGGAGGTTCACATCAGGATTTTGCTTGTTCATAGGGGGTAATTTGGTCTCTTGAAAAAGCAAGCAGTTTGTAGTTGCGAGGTCGACGACAGATGCAGAGTATAGGGCCATGGTCTTTAGGAGTTGCCGAGATGTTATGTCTGAGAGCTCTATGGTAGAGTTCAAGGTGGACCAATTAACTCAAAGGATATTGTGGTGTGACAACAACTTAGTAATCAACATTGCTAACAACCTGTTGTGTCACAATAGAACCAAGCATGTATGGTTTGATAGGTTATTCATCCAGAAGAAGCTGAAAGGTGGACTACTGAAGATAAGTCATGTAGCTACTGGAGAGCTAGTGGCTGATTGCCTTATCGGGGGACTTAGGTTATTAGATCTATCTAGGTTGTGTGACAAGATGCACTTAGTGGATATCTTTTACCCATTTTGAAGGGGAGTGTTGAGAATTGTATCTAATTTAAGGTTCTATCAAGTAATAGAGAATATGGAAAAGTTTAGGGACTTATGTGCAAGAATGTAAAGGCTCTATATAAGCCCTAGTCATTAATCAATAAACAAGTTTTTTTCCTTTACAAATCTGTTGCTTCAAAATCAGAATTCTTATTTCTCTCGAGGAATCTGATTTTGTTTTTATTTGCACACATCAATTTTTTCTATATTTCTACTTTATTTTCATTTTTTTTGCCCTTTCTTTTGGGTGCACATTTTATGCTTCTTTGTTTCTTCATGCTAACTAGTCCTTTACAATCATGCTTTTCTCCTGTGTGGACATAGATGGTAAAGATATTTGTGGCATAGTCTATGCAATTATGCCAACTCCGATAGCAAGATAAAGGGCTCAAGGGTCAGGGAAGGTTTTTTACTGGTGTATGAACATTCTGTTATTATGTGATTGGAAGTTGGATGGATTGAGCAAAAAAGGAATCCATGGTGGATAGATGGATCTTCACTAAAGCAGTCTGAGGCACATGTTTTTAGTTAATACTCTTTGTTTTGGCTCATCTTGTGCTTCAAGATCAGAATTCTTATTCCTCTTGAGGAATCTGTTTTTTTTTTATTATTTGCACACATTAATTTTTACTAAATTTCTATTTTATTGTAATTTTTTTGGTCCTTTCTTTTGGGGGCTATTTTTTGCTTTATTTTTTTCTTCAAGCTATCTAGTCCTTTACAATCATGCTTATCTCCTACATGGACATAGATCGTAATAATATTTGTGGTATATAATATAAATTTATTTAGTTTTCTTGATTTCTTGCAATAGGAGTATAATTCCTTGAGAAAAGTGTCAAATTGGCCTCCTGTTTATTTGCAGAAGGCCATTTAAATCCTGAAATTTATAATGTGTCAATTTAGTCCCAAACTTTTTTAGTATGGGCTGAAATAGACTCCTGTAAGCACTACTTTCTCCCCCCCATTAAAAATCTCGGATAAAATTACCCCATGTAAAAAGTTAGAGGACTATTTTGGCATTTTACTTCTAGTTCTTATTGATTTCAAAAATATTGAAGGGATGCTGTAGATATTTCAATCCAAACCTATGCTTGTTCAAATGGTCAATAATGCATTTTTTACTTGATTGATTAACATGAAATTGAGAAATACATGTCTTTCTCTGTGCTCTTTCTAGCAACAAATTAATTTCTGAAAATCGTTGTTATAATTCATTCCTACTTTTAAGATAAGGTATGGATTTCAGAAGCTAACCTCCATTATCTTACACTGGAGGGTTTTCTGCTTCAAAGTTCAATCGCAGTGAAGGATGCCATGTAAATTTAAATTAGAGTTTTAGTATTTTCCGTAAATCAATTTCAAATTTAACTTTGGGGCATGATCTCTGTAGTAGATGTCTAGCTCCCATAATGATATGAATCATATGTCAAAGTAGCCTAATCCGTCTGCCAAATACTCTTGAATCAATGAGCTTCTCAGTAGCAGCCCATTCTGCTTGAGGAACATACCTCCTTAGGCATAATTACTCTCACCACTCAGAACCATATTTGGGGCAAAATTGAACACTTACTTTTCTCAGCTCGATACTCTGATTATTGCAAAAATAGCTCTGCAACTTTAAAACCCTCTTGGACAGCTCGACAATATTGCCCAGCAGTTAATGTGCCAAAGCACTGAAGATCTCCTTTTTCCCAAGTAATGATTTCGTCAGATCTCTCCTAAAATGTACCATCCTAGCATGCATCTTGCCTCTCTTTTATAGAGCACCACTTATCACTTGCCTGCCTACACGTGGAACCATTCTAGCTGCAACTGGTGTCTTGTCATCATCTGGGAAAGGCCAGATCTCGACTATGTATGCTCGTCAAAGAGCTAGAAGTTTTTGGATCTCTTTGCTCTCTTGATTCCCTATTGTATTTTCTGCTACTGCCACTTCCACCGCTATTTCCAAATTTACAAAACTCTAGCTTCTCCTTATAAACGATCTACGAGGCTGTAAACTCAAATCATTACAAAATTCTCTCTCTATCTCTCTCTCTCTCAAGAGAGCCTCTGTAACCCTATACTCAACAAGCTTAGTGAATTCAGCAGCTAGCCTCATACTGGATGTTTTGTGAGAGAAAAGGCTGCAGGTTGGATCTCTGTTTAGTTAATTTCTTATCCTTAGTTGAATCAAAATCGACTTATTTCAATGATTTGTAAATAATTGATCAAATAATCTGTAAATGCTGTCATGACATCTGTACTGAATTCTTTTCCCCTGTTTTCTAGGCTATCAGAAGTCTATTGCATCCTCCAGACATAAGAACAACTGATAGACAGCAAGAATTATCTATCATGGATGCTGCATCTGAATTCAGCGGTGGTGAGCCACAACAATTTGATGAATACCCTCAAAGGCCCAGCGAACCTGAGTGCCAATATTTTATGAAAACTGGATACTGCAAGTTCAAATCAGCTTGCCGATATCATCATCCAAAATCATATCTTAGTTCCTGGAGACCTGCAAGCAACAATAGTGTCCCTTTGCAACAAGATGATTCCATAGAACAGTTGTGTGAGATAACATTACCGTCGGAAAACACTTCAAATGATCAAACAACATTTTTATGTCCATCATCATCTAGTACTCCCGGTCAGGCGAATGTGCAATGGAATGGTGATCAGGTAGTTTTGACCTAAATTTTACTTAGATTAATTTATTTATTTGATTAATTCATTTAAGATCATGGTTACTTCTAGTTTATGAAATTTGTGAAGGACTGTCGGGCTTGAATTTCTTTAAGAGATAATGTTAGAATTAGTGCTGCTTTTTCTTTGAGCTAGGGGTGTCAATTCGGGTCGGGGTTGGGTTCGGGTTCGAATAAAAAATGAGCCAACCTGAATATGGTCAATTAGAACCCGACCCAAATAATAGACGAGTCAAAAACTAAAACCCGAATCTGACCCAAACTTTCGTGCTTATTTGGGTCATGTTTGGGTTTTCAGATTCAACCCAAAGCCGATCCGAAAAATATTCGGGTCAATCTTAACGCAGATTTTTCGAGTCGAGTTTGAGTAGTGTTGGCGTTTCGGGTCAATTTTTGACACCCCTACTTTGAGTGTACTTTTACTTTTGTTTTTGTCTTATAAAATACTATTATTAATTTCTCCTCAAACATAGCAGTGCCTTCAGAACACATTTACCTTGTTTTAACCTATTTTTCCACATTGTGAAGTAGTTTTTTGGGATGCACTTTTATTTGTTGACATCATTACTGCTGATTTTTCTTCTTCTTAATATAATGCCTACAAATTGTATCAATTGTGTTGTGTGATGGTAAATAATTGTAATTATTATAATGTAAAATTAAGCATATATCAGAAATCTTGAGTATGATATGCGTACCTATATGTAAATCTTATAGCACTTATATGAGTCATTTGCATGGAAACATACACAATCAACATAGAATTTTCCAGTCACATCGAAACAACGCAAACAAATACTTTAATGTCATGGCTAGCGGCTTGCTTTGCATTATACTTTACGTGTGTAGTTGCAACGGCAAGGCGATAAGAATCAAAAGTATAATCCTTCTTTTTCTTACGTATATTTATTTATATTCTTTTTTTTCTCTATATTGAAATAGAAAGGGGGAGAGAAAGATTGGGAGAGGGACATAAAGAGAGAGATGAGGAGAAGTAGATAGAGAGGGAATGTTGGCTTTTGAAGGTTGGTCGGAGGCTTATGTTTTTGGTGATAGGTGTCGGGGTGTTTTTTTTGGTGAAAGTAGAAAAAATTTGGTATGAATGGTAAGGTACTGAGTTGATCGTAGTAGATATAGGTTACGTTAAATTGGTTAGGCATAGAACGACAAATTCCTAAAAAATTTAGAATTTTGCCAAATTATGATACCAAATGACACTATTCTAGGGATCCTAGAAGGTGTTAAGAAGGGGATTTAGTAGGGAACGGTAATAGAGTAACAAGGTAATGAAAATATGGGGTAAAAGTGTTGGAAGGAGTTAAACCTGCTGTTGGTCGGCAGATTCGGCGGCTGCAGTCCGAATGGTGACATGGCAAAGTAAGTGGCGAGGAAGGCCTATCACCTGTTCCTACCGCTTGTAAAAGGAAGATGATATAGCTCCCAGGAGAGCATGAAATAGAGACCGAAGTCCCTTAACACATTTACAATATAAAAAATCTGCTAAATCAGCAAAATAACAACATATAAATGGTTCCCTAATAGCAAAGAGTCTAATTAGAAACATAGGAACCAGTAAAAATAAAAAAAAAGGAAGAAATAACTTGCTGAAACCGGAAAATATCAGGCGGTTCATCCACTCCCGCGATCACAGAAGTCCTGCGTACACGTATCACGTAGCGTGGAATCGAGGAAGTCATGCGCCCCGAGCAGCCTTGCTCCCGTTTATCCTGGACCTGCTGATGTCCCGCATCTTGGGAAGCTTCAGCTTCTATTGCACAGTATATCCCTCTTTATTACTTATTTAGTTTTTATCTAAAATGAGAAGATTGTATATTTCTTAAGGTCAGGAGGTCAACTTTTGAATCCTTTTTCTATTTGTTTATTATAAATGTTGTTTGTGTTGTTAAATCTATTTTTTGCATATCACTTTGAATAACTTCTACCATTTTATCACATGTCTACCATTTTTTTTCTTTCTAATTCTTTAAGTTTATTTACTCGTTTTATCAGTGTTTTTTTTTTTTACCTATGTTGTCCACGCCCAAATTACTTTAATTTTTTTTTTAATTATTTTTTTTTTGTGCCAAAGTACTTTAGTTTATTTTTAGTTGTCTTATTTTAATATATGCCACTTCAACCATTCCTTTAATTTAATTATTTCTTAATTCAGAATTTCTAATTTTGACACACAATCTCTTCTACATCTTTCTTTTATGCCGCACTCAATGTAGATTTTCACGATTCCTCGCGCTTTATTTTTGATGTGATGGGCATTCTGAAGTTTCATTCAGGTCTTTTTCAAATGACCAGATCATCACAGTCCCTAAGCGAGCGAGGTCTAACTAAGGTGTTGAAAGGACTTGTAATGAATGCATGACTTGTTTGACTGTCTTTTAGTACAAAAGAAATCGCTGCTTTCGGCGACGGGTTTTGTGTGTGTTGTGAGAGAGCAAATCCTATAGTTTGGATCTCTGTTCAGTTTGTTTCTTATTCCTAGTTGAATACACAATGTTTTATTTACATGAATTTAAACTAAATTATCTGTAATTCTTTATAATGGCATTTTGTGCTGAATCTTGATCCCTTGTTTCCTAGACTTCCCCAAGTCCATTGCATGCTAGAGAGATGAATATAAATGAATTTAAAGGCGGCGTGCAGTCACAAGTTGATGAATACCCTCAAAGGCCTGGTGAGCCTGAGTGCCAGTTTTTTATGAAAACTGGATACTGCAAGTTCAAATCAGCACGCCGATATCTTCCAAAATTAAAGGTAAGTTTCATCATCCAGTTACCATTGCTATAGTTGGTGAGGATTCCTTTCATAATCTTAACAATTGTGCATCTTTTTAGTGTAGAGGTCCTGTAGAACAATTGGGTGGAACATTATTACCATCAGAAAATACTTCAGAGGAACAAGAAGCCGTTTTAGGCCTTTCATCATCTAAAGTTCCAGACCTGTTTACGCCTAACCAGGGATTGGAGTCAAACGCACAATGTAATGAAAATCAGGTAGTTTGACCTGTATTTTTATTTTTTATGGATTAACTTAATTCAAATTCTTGCTTGGTTTTACTTTAATAAATGGAGTAGGAGTCTTGGTCCTGAAATTTTCTGATAAATAATGTCATAAGCATTGCAGGTTTTTTCCCTTAGTTCTACCTGTGCCTTGTTTTGGCATTATTCTAATTTATTTTCTGCATTTTGAAGTTGTTTTTTTATTAAAAGCTGTAATCTGATGATTTTGATTAGCTAAAGTTTTTTCTTCCATTTAAGTTGAGAAATATTTACACAATCTGTCTGTTGTGCTGTATAACGGTAATAATTGCGTGCCTTATATGCAAAATTAAGAAGATACTGGAAATTTAATGTAACATATTAGTATAAATTGTTTATTTCATGGTGAGGACTGTTTTGTCTTTCCCAGATTTCTGAAATATTTGAGTTATCAATCTTTTAATGCAATTTTCCAAGTTAAGTTACTTGGACAACCTTTCTTTGATGGAAAAAAGAAATAGCATTGATATATAGCTTCGAAATTTTAAAATGACAAAGAAAAATTGTGTCATGTGAAAACGCCTTTTGAGTTTGTATTCGGACATAACTTGTTATTATTACGTTTATAAATATTATTTAAGATTTGTATCAAACAATTGTCAGTACAGAATGAACTTTGGACTGGTTCAAACTTTGGCAGCAACCAGTCATGTAATATTGTGGAAATCTGGGAAATAGAAAGAAAGATACACTGAAGTTGGCAACATTTGTAAAGTTTATTTAACATGTAATTTATCAAAAAAGTAATGGTAGCAATACCTATTAATTTGGGGTGATGAATTTATATATCATGATCATTGTGGGAAATATGGAAAACTTAACATGCCATTGAATTTTCTAAAAGGGCAAGGTGTAGCGTATACAGAGACGTCTTGAAATTTTACCATTTGACTGGAAGCCGAAGAACTGACCATATAAGGTCAAATTTCAATTGAAAAGAGTGTCAAAATAGTCCTTGACTTTGGGGCATCATTTTAGTTCTAGAGTCTATAAATGTGTTAATTTAATTCTCAGATTTTTTTAATACGAGCTGAAATAATCTCCACAGAGGATTATTTCAGACCCAATTTAAAGACTATGACTAATTTGAAACTTTTGTATATTGGGACTAAAATGACCCATATAAATAATCGGGAGACTATTTTGACACTTTACTCGATTTCCATTCAGCAGTGTCTGCCGCTTCGAACTGCACAAACCAACAAATCGATATGGCTAAAGACATTTTTTTTGGAGTAGATCTAATGAGAAATTTTGCTGGAAGAAATGTTCCAGACAAACTGAAGGAAGAAAGGGAACATATTCCTCTACTGTGGTTGATCTTCACTTCATCACTTGTGGTAAGAGAAATTTTGGAAGCGGGAATAGTCTATGCAATTATTTCAACTCTGATAGCAAGATAAAAGTCTCGAACTAAAATGACCCCATCTATTTTCAGAAGACTATTTTGGATTTTTACTAATAGTTCTTATTTATTGCAAAAATATGAGAGGGATGCTGGGGGTATTTCAATTCAAACCTATGCTTTTCCAAGTGGTCAATAATGCATTCTTATTTGATTGGGTGCCAAGGAATTGAGAATTACATCCTAGGCCTTCTATATCTGTCTCCGTGCTCTTTCTTGCAACAAAATAATGTCTGAAAATCCTTGTTATAATTCATTCCTATTTTTAAGATATGGTATGTATTTCAGAAGCAAAGCTCCATTATCTTTCCCTGGAGGATTTTCTGCTTCAATGCTTGAAGGATGCCATTTAAAATTATATTAGAGTTTTAGTATTTTCTTTAAATAAATTTCAAATTTAACTTTGGGACATTTCATTTCCATTATATCATGCAAACTATGAGCAGCCGAGCTTAATTTGTTTGCCAAATACTCTTGACTCGATGAGCTCTCGGCACAAGCTGATACCGGAACTAGTTGAGATGTGTTGTAATACAAAAAGTAAATTTTTATTAATATAAAAATAGTAATACAACACGACTCAACAAAAGAGAAATAGAATAATAGACGAATCACTAGCTAGAGCTATAGGATGAGATTTGAAGGTGGTAGCGGTGTCGGCGGGTGAGCGGCCGTTGGGTAGGTAGGGGATTGTGTGAGGTTGGTTGTAGGTGGATTGGATGGCGAGGTCGTGGAGGAAATAGGGGTGGCGGTTGTGTGATGGAGAAACGTGGGGATGGTAAATAACTAGTGGAGTGGTAGGAAAAAGGGGTTAGTGAAAAGTAGCAAAGGAGTTTGAAGTTTACTGCACCACCTCGAAGCAAGATACAGCCGAAGCACCACCTATCATTGGTTAAAACCCTAATAAGATGGAAGAGACTCCACACAGGAGACTAGAAGATAACTCTAGTAGAACTTGTCCCCCACACACACCGGGGACACCTATTTATAGCCTCCTACTTCTACATGAAAGGAAGGGGAGTGGGACGGTAAGAAGATTCCAGAAGAAAGTCTTTTCTAGAAGAAGACGGGTGAGGAGGGTGCATGAAGCAACCCTGGATCATAAGGATTCGCGATCCAATCCCCGTTTCCATACGCGGGATCGTGATCTCGCTGCTCGTTCTCCTACGTTCACGAGTTCGCGAGTTTCCAACATCGCACAATGTTTCTCTAAGTTTCGTGTGGCTTCGACCTCGTTGTTTCGAAGCGCCCCGTTCGGGTAGCTATTATGTGCTCGAATTTGGGTGTTGTTCCTAGGCGCCCACATCAGTCTCCTGGGGTTGGGGAATCTTTGACCTCATTTGTCGAAGCTCCAGGCTCTTAGGAGTATTTTGTTAGTCGGTGGCTTTGAACGTGGTTGAAATGTTGTAGCCCCCAGGCATGTTGTTCTTATAAGCATTATCGTTCAACTTCTGAAGTACTCTGAAAGGTCCATTTGTTATAGGCTTAAGCTTTTCGAATGATCCTGCAGCAAATCTCTGCTTTTTCAACCGAATCGATACGAGACGCCTTTCTGAAACGTTATTTTCTTCCTGGATTTATTTTCCTGTGCCTGATATTTTTATTCTACTTAGAAATTTCTTTGCCAACTTCATGGAGCTTCTGGATCTCGCGAACTTGTTCTGTGGCATCTTTGTTGATTTTTGAAGATGGCAGGTGCAGTACTAATTCAAGTGGCATGAGCGGATTGTGCATGCACACAATCTTGAAAGGAATTAATCTTGTAGTTTTGTTGATGGATCGAGTATAGGAGAACTCAGCTTGGGCTAGGATTAGATCCCACTATCTTATGTTTTTTCTACGAAACAACTTAAGAGATTACCGAGGCTTGGGTATACTACTTATGCCCGTCTGTTTGTGTATGTGCTCCTGAGCTGAATTGGAGTTTGGCGTCGAGCTTTCCCTATATTGTCTTCCAGAAGTGGTATAGGAATTTGATGTCTCTGTCGGAGGTGATGGCCTTGGGAATCCCATGCAGCCTGACAATCTCCCTGAAGTTTATATTTGCGATGTGAGAGGCGTCTATTATCCGATGACAGAGTATAAAGTGAGACATCTTGAAGAATTTGTCTACTACAACCATTACAGAATCTTTGTTCCTTTGAGTCATTGAAAGTCCGAGCATGAAATTCATGCTGACGTCTACCTACGGTGCCTCTGGTACTGGAAGTGGTGTGTATAATCCCACATTCTGGGCTCGTCTTTGTCAGATGACAAATCCTGCATTGTTTGACATGTTGTTCGACATCTCTTGTTACCTTTGGCTAGAAAAAATGCTCTCTTACGAGGGCGATAATCTTGTTTCTACCGAAGTGATCTGCCAGTCCTCCGTTATGGCTTTCCTGGATAATATTTTCTTTAGTGAACACCGAGGAATGCACAACTAACCCTGGTGGAACAGGTATCCATTTGTGCAGTAATATTGCCCTGCTGGTTTCTCATGACATTGATCTCATATGTTCTTAAAATCTTTGTCTGTTTTAAATAAATCCTTATTAACCTCAAGGCCCACAACTCGCTCCTGGATGGGCGTGATTAATACACGTTGACGATTTAGCGCATTTGCTACACGGTTTTGACTTCTCACTTTATGCTTTAGTACAAACTAAAATTAGGCTAGATATTCCACCCAAGTGGCATCTCTTCCCTTCAGTTTGCTCTGGCTGTTGAAGAATTTTAGGGCCTCATGATCTATAAATTGTGTAAACTCGTTTGTCAATAGCTAATGAATCTAATGTTCAGAGCGCTTACGATGACATAGAATTTTTTGTCATAAGTTGATTATTTTCTGTTGGATTCATTCAATCTCTCACTGGATAAAGCAATGTGGTGTTCTCCTTGGCTTAGTTCTTAGTTCTGCTCCGATCTCCACGTCAGGGGCATCACATTCTACTTTGAAAAGTTGTTTGAAATCAGGTAGTGCTAGGAGGGGGGCTTGAGTCATTTTTTCTTTCAGTTTGTCAAAATTGTCTTGTGCTGCGACTGGCCCAGTAAACCCATTTCCTTTCAGAAGTTCAGTTAGAGGCGTGGTGATAGTGTTGATGTTTCTGATAAATAAAAAAGGATGCCCGGCCGCCCCCCCCCCCTCCCCTCAAGAATTGCCTCAACTCGGTGAATGATTGTGGTATGATCCAGATGATACTGACATCTATCTTTACTGGATCGATCTGTATGCTTCCACTTGACACTATGTAATCTAGAAAGCATATCTGACTTGGCATGAAGTGACATTTCTTCGAATGGGCATATAGTTGCTCGGTTTGCAATTTCTCAAATACTACCTTCAGGTGATGCAAGTGATCTTCCTCCGTGAGGTTGTATACTAGAATGTCATCAAAATATACTGACAAACTTTTCAATGTGAGATTGGAATTCCTGGTTTATTAATATCATAAAACTGCTAGGTGCATTTGATAGACTAAAAGGCATAACGGTCCACTCATAAAGTCCGTCCCACGTCTTGAAGGCGGTTTGCCACTCGCTCCCTGGCCTCATCTGTATATGGTGATATCCGCTGCGTAAGTCTACCTTGGAGAAGATAGTGGCTCCATGTAGCTGGTCTAAGAGATCATCCAAACGAGATATGGGAAATCAGTACTTAATGGTAATCTTGTTGATGGTCGGCTGACGATGTACATTCGCTGTGATCCATCTTTTTTCAGCACCATCAGTGTCGGGACTGCACACGAGCTGGTGCTTTTTTTGGCTAGCCCACTTGCAATGAGATCCTGCACTTGCCTTTGTAGTTTTTCATGCTCCGCGGGCCTTAATTTGTAGGTTGGTCGGTTTGGCAATACAGATCCTAGTATAGGGTGGATGGCGTGTTGAATATCTTTTAGTGGTGCTAATCCCTTTGGTAAGCTGTCGGTCATAAAATCCTGAAAAGCCTTGTATCAATGGTTGCAGTATTGTTGGTACCTCTCTTTCTTTCTCACTTCTTTCCAGGACTAATACTAGTGTTACAGGGGCATCTCTGATCGCTGCAGGAAAGTGGTACGAGAAACTTATTCTACCTCTGTATTGCCCCCGCCTTTGGCATCCTTAGCAGGTAATAAAACTATATGTTTCTCATCCTTCTTGAAAGAATAAGTATTTTTGAACTCTTCGTGTTGAGTTTTGCTATCAAATTGCCAAGGCCTACCTAACAGAATGTGGCAGGCGTCCATAGGAATCATGTCGCACTATACCTGTTTGATGGAGAAATCAATTAAGCACTGATGATCCACACATCTCATTTCCCTTCTTCAGCCAGGTAAGAGAATATGATTGGGGATGCTTCTATGCGTCCAATCCTAACTTTTTTACCATGAGTGTGGGTACCACGTTCTCGCAGGTGCCACTGGCGATGATCGGGTTGTAGACCTTCCCCTCAACAGTGCACTTGGTGCAAAAAATGTTATGTCTTAGCCAGGATTAGTCTTGCACTGGCTCGGACTATAGTATTTGTCAAACGAATAATGCTTCTCCTTCATCTCCGTGGAGTTGAAGCTCTTCTTCTAGGCTCTCCTCTGATTCCTCATCGACTTCCTCAACGACGTCTTGATCTGTGAGGGTGATGACGCGGCTTGTTGGGCAGTTTGAGGCAATGTGATTGTAGCCACACTTCCTAACTGGCACTGTATTGGAGGGGCTACCTTTTTCTGGCTTATTCCAACTCTGACCTGCCCTATCAGTCCCTTATTCAATTCTGTTATTTCCTCCCGAGGTACTCTTGTCAACTGTAGCAGATGCAGATGACTGCTTAGTTGAAGGTGGGGGTATGAACAATGATTGTTTTCTGCTTTACTCTGCTCTCTCTCTCTACCTTCAGGGCTAGTGTCTGGACATCCCCCAACGTCCAGTATGGTTGTAGTTGTATCACTTTGCTAATGGCGAGTCTTAGGCCTCCGAGAGATTCGGCGATCGTGTGCTCCTCTGGCTCTGTTAGTTCATACTTTAATTGTAGATGGTCGAACTGGATCGTGAACTCCTCAAATGATAGTTCTTGTTGCTATAATTTGTGGAGTTTTAGGAACATGTCTTGGCGATAATGTGGTGGGAGGTATTTTTTCTTTATTATCTTCTTCATTTTCTCTTACTTAGTTATCTTTTCACTTCCTTCCCCGCACCTCTGCCTTTGTTGATTCTCCTACTATAAGGAGGCATTTTTTTTAGTTTGATTGCAGCTAGTTTGACTCGCTTGTCCTCTGGTACGTTTTAATATTTGAACATTTGTTCGACTGTTTGTAGCTAGTCGATAAACTCATCGGGGTCCATGCTTCCTCGAACTCTGGGAGGTCCATCTTGATGCCAATGTTCCTTTGACCTCCATAAGGGGCCTCTTCTCTTGGCCTCCATTGATTTTGGATACCAAAATGACACGATCGATATACTTCGTTGCTGTGATATTTCTTGTGCAACGGATTAAGATTCTCGTCATTGTCTTCCCTATGACTCGATCACGGTCAAAGGTAATCTCTTCTTGGTTCCAGTCATCTAACTCCGCTAGTCTTTGTTGCAGATGACGAATTTCACGTAGAAACCCTTCCCGAGTAGAGCTTGATGTATCTCTTCGCAGTGGCATTACTAGAGTTGGGAATTGGAAGAAAATAAAAGTTGATGGAGATGAATTGGGCAGGGGCTGAGGCTGGAAAATCTAGCTCTGATACCGAATGATACTATAACTAGTTGAGATGTGGTGTAATACAAAAAGTAACTTTTATTAATATTAGTAGTACAACACAACCCAACGATAGGGAAATACAATAATAGACGAATCACTAGCTAGAGCTAAAGGAAGAGATTCGAAGGTTGTAGCAGTGTCGGCTAGGTGAGCGGTCGTTGGGTAGGTGATTGTGTGGGGTTGGTGTAGGTGGATTGTATGGCGAGATCATGGAAGACGTAGGGGTGGTGGTAGAGTGATGGAGGAATGTGGGGATGTTAGCTGACTAGTTGAGTGGTAGAGAAAAGGGATAGGTGAGATGTAGCGAAGGAGTTTGAAGTTTACATCACCACCTCGAAGCAAGATACAGTCGAAGCAACACCTGTCGTTGGTTACAGGCCTAACAAGAGGGAAGAGACTCCACACGGGAGATTAGAAGACAACTCTAGTAGAACTTGTCCCCCACACACACCGGGGACAGCTATTTATAGTCTCCTACTTATACATGAAATGAAGGGGAGCGGGACTGTAAGAAGAATCCAGAAGAAATACTTTTCTAGAAGAAGACAAGGGTGGAAGGTGCATGTAGCTGTCCTGGATCGTGAAGATTTGCGATCCAATCCCTGTTTCCATACGCGGGATCGTGATCCCGCTGCCTGTTCTCCCCTGCATTCCCAAATTCGCTGATTTTCCGTGTCGCTTGATGTTTCGTGTGGTTTCATGCGGTTTCGCGGGGGCCTTTGGCCCCATTGTTTCAAAGCACCCTGCTGCGCTGTTTTGCACCTGAATTCGGGCGCTGCTCCTTGGTGCCCGCATCACAAGCCCATTCTACTTGAATGATTTCACGAGTCACATTGACAGATGATTCCATTTATGCTCCCTTCAAAGACCATACCTTCTTATGGATAATTACTATGCCACTCAGAACCGTCTTTGGGGCAAAGTTGAACACTTTTTCTCAGCTCAATACTCTGATTATTGCAAAAAATTGCTCTGCAACTTTAAAACCCTCTTGACACCTTAACAATATCGCCCACCAGTTGATGTGCCAAAGCAATGAAGATCTCTTTTTTTCCAACTTGCAAGTAAAATGTGTTATCCCTGCATGCATCGTGTCTCATTTTTATAAAGCACCGCTTTGGTTTGCCTGCCTGCACGTGGAACTATTCTTGCAGCAACTGGTGCCTTGTAATCATCTGGAATAGGCAGGGTAGGCAAGATCTTGACTTATTAAGCTCATCAAACAACTACAAGCAGACAGTTTTTGGACCTCTCTGGTCTCTTTGATTTTTCTGCTGCTTCCATTGCCACCTCTTCTTCCAAAATTTACAAAGCACGAGCTTCTCTTTATAAAAAATCTGCAACGATGTAAACCCAAATCATTATAAAATTCTCTCTCTCTTTTTCTCTCTCTCGACCTCAACCTTCTGTAAATCTATACTCAAGAAGCTTAGTGAATGCAGGAGCTAGCCTCATATTAGATGTTTTGTGCAAGGGTATTCTGTGTGTACGAAAGGAGAGAAAACTGTAGCTTGGATCTCTGTTTAGTTAATTTCTTATTCCTAGTTGAATGAAATCGACATATTTAAATGATTTTAAAATATTTGATCAAATAATCTGTAAAATGTTGTCATGGCACTGAATTCTTTTCTGCTTTTTTCTAGACTGTCACAAGTCTATTGCATGCTCCGGACATAAAAACAATTGACCAACAGCAAGAATTAGTTAGCAAGGATGCTGCATCTGAATTCAGCGGTGGTGAGCCACAACAATTTGATGAATACCCTCAAAGGCCCAGCGAACCTGAGTGCCAATATTTTATGAAAACTGGATACTGCAAGTTCAAATCAGCTTGCCGATATCATCATCCGAAATCAAATCTTAGTTCCCTGAGCTTGTCACTTAGACCTGCAAGCAACAATAGTGTCCCTTTTCGGCAAGATGATCCTGTAGAACAGTTGCGTGAGATAACATTACCTTTGGAAAACACTTCAAATGATCAGACGGCCTTTTTATGTCCATCATCATCTGATGTTCCCAGTCAGGTGAACGTACAATGGAATGTTGATCAGGTAGTTTTGACCTAAATTTTAATTTCCTTGAATTAATTTATCTATTTGATTTTCATTTAAGATCATGGTTGCTTCTGGTTTATGAAATTGGTGGATGACTGTTAGCTTTGAATTTATTTAAGAAAGAAAGTTCAGAATCAGTGCAGCTTTTTCATTGAACTTACATTTTTTTTTTGGTTTTGTGAAATACAATTATTCAATTTCTCCCAAACATGAAGGTGACTTCAGCATACATTTACCTTCTTTTGGCATTCTTTTCTACATTCTGGTGCTGATCTTTGGCATGCATTTTTTTTTTCTTATGAACTTGATTACTACCGACTGTTCTTCCCTTTAAACTCTAAAATACCTACAAATTGTGTCAGTTGTTTTGTGTGCTTGTAAATAATTGTAAGCAGATATCATAAAATTTGAGTAAGATATGAGTACCCATTTGTAAATCTTATTACACTTTTATTGGTTATTTGCATGAAAAAATACAACATATAAGTTTCCTGCACATCGGAATGATGCAAACATACATCTAAATGTCACATGAAGCGGCTTGCTTTGAATTATGCTTTAAGTATGCATTTATGGCTGCAATGGCAAGGCTATAAGAATTGAAATATAATTTTTCTTTTTTCCCCTTTTTTTCTTACTATTTTATTTTATTTTTTAATTTATTATTTATTTCTCTTTTTAGAGTGAGAAAGGGAGGGAAAGATATGGAGAGGGATAAAAAGAGAGATTGTAATAACCAGTTTTAAGAAATCATGATTTTTTTTTTTGCAACTTTAAAATGAACTCCAAATTTTTGCATCAATTAGATTTCAACCGAATTAATTTTATAAAATTCTAAACATCAAATTGATCAATTCAATATATAATTCTATATATAAATTATGAATAGAATGAAAGATGTAAAAATTAGAAGTTATAAATTTAATTAGTTTAATTAGACCTAATTATCTCTTAATCCTCCCGCACCATTACTGTTCCCATCGACTCGCGATATTTAGCACTGTGGGATGCGTCGAATGGGGCAATTCTCTCCAGAGACTTGAACTCAACAAAACCCCTTCAGTCTAGCAAGACTCTCTTTGGCAACAAGATTTGTTGTCCCTTTGGCAACTTGAACATCGATAAAATTGGTAGCTTCGGGTAGAGTCTTGACCTTAGCATCAACCACCCCGAGATCTTTCACAGCTTGATCGTTTGGAGTCTCTGAATGTAATATGATATCATATTTGCACGGAAAAAATTCTCAGAATGAGGAAATCTCGTTACATGATCTTCCAGAGGCGGATCGACAGCTTTCTGGTTCAAGACTTTTCCTTTGATGTTACAAGTCTCAGGAGAATCTTTCTCTGTTAATAAGGCTATCCACGAGCATCTTTCAAAGTGTAACACTGCTCATCCTTCTTATCTATAGTTTTCACACCAAAATTATGAAGTCTTGCCATAAAATCAATGGTTCAAAAGCTTAGAAAGATTAAAAGTAGTGCCATCACCAGTAGAGTCAGGCTTGACAAAAATTGTCATAACTGACTCATCTTGTTCCTTGTTCACATCAGGAAGTTAACCTTCTGTCAGATTATTCAAATCAAGAGGAATCTTCTCCGAAGAGTGAGGCTCAAATTGAGGCAACCTTACCTCATCTGTCAGACTAGTTCTTTGTACCTCCTCCATGGAAGGAATCGAAGAACCTACGACTTTGACAGAAATGCCTGAAGAACCCTCCACTGGAGCATCCTATCTCTCAGAAAGCTTTGATCTAGATTCTTCTTCCAAGCTCAGAATAGCCAACTACTTCTTACGGTGGAGGTTAGATGGGATCACGAAACATTTATGTCTATCAATGGGATCTTGCCCATCACAAAAAAAACAAAAATTATCATTTGAACACCTCAGATTTATTAAGCGAGACCACTCTCTTCTCCAGAAATGAAGAATCTACAATTCTCTTTATAACGCTTCTTAAAATTTAAAGGGAGTATAGTCATAAAAGTCTACCAACTGTTGCAATTAATTGTATTTATAGCTCCCAACTTATTTTGTACTTTTTCCATTTGGGCAGACTGAATGGCGTGACAACGAAACACCCAAATACATGACTTAATTGTATACAACGTCGTCAATTAAGTCAACCAAAATGATTCTCTTCAGTCATGAATTTTGTATTTAATAGATCTCAATAGCTTGAGCCAAAGAATTTGAATATCCTTTTTTCTGTGGGAGATTCAAGGCTTCCAAGGATGAAGTAGATCTCTTTCACCAGAGTAAATCATGAGACTACTCCATGTAGGCAGAGCACAAAGTGCCCCCAGGTGTAGGGCAATGTTGGCTCATTAATGAATAGGAACGATCTAATTCCTCGAAGTAAAAGCCAAAGTGCCCTGGGTCAAAAAGACCCATTCCCGAATCTATTAAGTTCTTGACTAATGAAAGCCAAGGGCCCACATAGCTGTAGGGAGTATAGAGATCTTCATTCTCTCATTTTTCTCGTAGAATCTTATCGAAGAGCCGAAAGAATGGGGAACTCATTGTATACACAAATACAGCTATATACCTAAATACATGATTTCTATATGTATTATAACATGAAAACTAATACCTCGAACTGAGTTCGCCAGCTGAAGCAGCCAACTGAGCCCACTTGCCGAAGTTGTTGAATTGAGCCCACCTGTGAAGTGGCTAAACTAAGTTCACCTGTTGAAGTTGGTGAACTGAACTCACTTGCCAAAGAGGTTGAATTTCATCTCTTCCATGAAGGTGACCTAACCCACCTTGGGAGAGACAACTATCCTAGATATTCATCATTGCCAGCAAGGACGCAAGTCCATTGTTCTTTAAAAGCACTAACTGACATCCACAACACATTTTTTTCATCAAGGCTCTATATTGGTGTCATTCTTTACTAAGTGTATATTCTATTATTTTCTCTCTTTTGTGTAAAAGGAAAGTCAAGATGAGAGAAAGGGGAGATTATGGATCTTTTCTTGAAGTTTCTCTCTCTCTCTCTCTCTCTCTCTCTCTCTCTCTCTCTTTCTCTCTCAAACATTGTAATTCGGGAAACCTACCCTGAACCATTTTTTTTCCGGTTTGCCGAGGTTGAAGTTCAATACACAATCTCTGTGACCCTCTCTTCTTCCTCTCTTCTTCCTCTCTTCTACCTCTCTTCCACGAAAACAAGGTTTTTATCAAGTTGCATGTACTCGCAAGCGATACGGGACCTTACATTCTAAAAGAATTCAACGATTCCCAAATTTTTAAATGATTAACATCATAGAAACTTAGAAAATAAGCTTTATTAACATTCTTTCATTGTTAGTAATGCTTGTAATCACATGAACAACAAAAAGGTTCCCCCTCTTTCCTAAAAAAAATCTCTATTCAGCCATTTGTCAACTATAAATATTAAATTCATTGCTAATTCTACTAATGGCAATGCTCTTGGAAGCACTTAAACAATGATCTTATTTGTTTCAACTGTCATAAAAGGGTCATATATAACACTAATGCACTCAAAGGCCCTTTCAATTCAACGATTTTGATTTACCTTCTTGAGATGATGGATATTGAATACGTGAAAGATAATAAACTATTTGTTAAAAATTTAGTAGAGCATCCTACCAAGGAAAATATTGGTTTAGTACTATATATGTTTTCAACCCAATTTAATGGAGAATATTGAGAACATAAAAAAAAACTTTGATGCATACAGCTCAATTCTTATGTTCCATTTCTAACACCTAAAGTTCAATTTTTACATATGTGCCACCTTGCCTATGCATGAAAAGGTGTATTTTTAGAAGTTAAATATAGTGGTATTTCTTATATGATACGAAAGATTTGGGTGGTATAAATGTAAAAAGTGAAGTTTAGATGTTAGATTTGTAAATTCATAGGATTTCGGTGGTATGTATGTAAATGCCCTTCAAATCTTTTGCACTAATTGGCTGCCCCACGGATTTTTTTTATACAAATTAGAGAGCAGGGCGTTAGAAAGACTGACAGTAACTCTGCCTATTTAACTTATTTACTGGCCCTGTATCCTCTCCCTCTTCATTGCTTCCATCGTTTCCTTGCAACATATGAAGATTGTACATTTTTAGGTTCTTCAATAAATTTCATCATTTTTGTTAGCCTTATCTTGACTATTTGTGACCAACTTTGTGAATCTTTATTATTCACTTCTATTGAGTGTTGCATGATGCAGTAATCTTTTTTTCCCAAATAATTTTGAACAACTTCTGTCCTTTATGTGTTTACATTTTTCCTTCTTTTTCCTAATTTGTTGACACTAAATTTATCATCCTATCTATTCAGTGAATTTTCTGCTCTTTTTTTTCTTCTTCAAATCGTTCAACTTTGTTTACAATTCTCTCATCTTCAATAAAAATAATTCCAGTCGTTTCTCTATTGCATTTATTTCTTAATTCATGCTTCATAATTTTGCAACAAATTTATCTTAACATTCTCATTTATATCACACTCAACTTACACTATTAGGATCTCTCACAAATGATTTATGATGAAGGATCAGTAGTTGAACTTGATGGATGGCTTGAAGTTTTGTCCGGTACCTTTATGTCTTCATCAAACCTGCAGCCCATTTAATTGCAAGTTATTAACAACTCGATGAATACTCACACTTCTAAAGCTACAGTAATATTACGAAAGGAAAATAACTCCCATGTTTGTCAAATATCGAGAATTAATGAAAACGTTTGACAATTTATAATTCAAAGATTGTTATTCAAGAAGATTCAAAACTTCGCACTTTAGGGAAGAGCTGTTGGTTGGATCTCTATTCCTTTGATTTGTTATTCATATTTGAATGAAAATTGATTTATTTAAATGATTTTGAAACATTTGATTAAATTATCTGTAAATTTTTGTCATGGCATTCCATACTGAATTCTGTCCCCTTGTTGTCTAGATGGCCACAAGTCCATTGAATCCTCCGGAAATAAAAATGAATTTAAAAGTTCAAGAATTAGCCAACAAGGATACTGCTCATGAATTTTATGGCCGTGTGGAGTCGCAACAAATTGATGAGTACCCTCAAAGGCCTGGTGAACCAGAGTGCCAACATTTTATGAAAACTGGATACTGCAAGTTCAAATCTGCATGCAGATTTCATCATCCCAAATCAAATATCTGTTTCCTGGCCCGGCCTCTGAAACCTGTAAGTAACAACTCTTCTTTTATTTTTTATACTAATTGTGATTTACACTATTATTTGCATTCTGCTGTGTATTAATCTGTGTTTACAGTTTTTTTTTCTTGATCTTGCTAAATGATTAATTATGAATTTGATGTGATTCTTATCTTCTTTTTTAGCCTTTATTTATAAATAGCCATATGTTGAATCAATTGCACGAGAGATAATTTATGATGAAATTTGGTAAATTTAATAAATTATAACTGAATTTAGCAGCATTTAAAATAAAATAACAAAACCGATGTTGTTGACATTAGCTTCACAAGGTAGACTTCTCCAACAATGTTTTTTTACTTTTTTAAGGCTATTTACTCATGTGATATGATCTGATTGAGTATATATTAAATATACCCTTGATATTAATATTCTTTTTTACAATTTGAAATTTTGCAGCTATAATTGATGCCAAGGAATATCAGAATTGATTAAGAAAGTAGTTTTATATCAAGGAGATCTCATTTGATTAGTGATGGAGTAGCTAACTTTTTTTCCCTTTTATTTTTCTTTTTTCTTCATGAGTACTGGTTTCAATTTTTGGTAGATGATAAGATTTTAGACTGCAAAATTAATTCACCTTCACAAACATCGCAGTGCGCTTCGCCTCTCCAACAAAACCATTGAAGGCTTCTTCTTCACCAATCTTTGCCTATGATCTGATTGAGTATATATTAAATATACCCTTAATATTATTATTATTTTTTACAATTTGAAATTTTGCAGCTATAATTGATGCCAAGGAATATCAGAATTGATTAAGAAAGTAGTTTTATATCAAGGAGATCTCATTTGATTAGTGATGGAGTAGCTAACTTTTTTTCCCTTTTATTTTTCTTTTTTCTTCATGAGTACTGGTTTCAATTTTTGGTAGATGATAAGATTTTAGACTGCAAAATTAATTCACCTTCACAAACATCGCAGTGCGCTTCGCCTCTCCAACAAAACCATTGAAGGCTTCTTCTTCACCAATCTTTGCCTTCTTAGCTTCCCTCTTGTCCTCCTTCTCATGTCTTGTTGCTTGTGAACTCATTATATTCCAACGAAAAGCAGACTAGCCAACAACTTGATCGGATATATATATTAGCTTCCCTCTTGTCCTCCATCTCATGTTTTGCTGCTTGTGAACTCACCATATTCCAAGGAAAAGCAGACTAGCGAACAACTTGATCGGTACTTATATATATATATATATATGTATATATATGTATATATATGTATTTAAAAAAGGAATCGGTATTTTAGGCGGACGTATCATCCTGTTCCCTAAAAACCGATCCCCTATATGTGCTAATTCGAAACAGTTAGATTCGAATCCGGCGGCAGAGGGGACTTGCGCCGAAGCTGCCTTCCAACAGACCACGGTAGAGCATATATATATATATATAGGCCTTGTCTCTTTTTGAAACAGCAATATTATCGGTTTGGTTAATTTTATTTTAAATGCTTTAACTTAAATTATTTACTGATTTATAAAAATTTCCCTATAATTTTAGAAATTTTCTTTTTGCAATATCTGAATGAAAATGATATTACTCTATTATGATGAGTGCATTTACATAATTTCTCGTCTATATGAACTATAGGATAAGCCCAGTTGTACACACTACAGCCGTGGAAATTGCAAATTTGGATCTGCTTGTAGATTCAATCATCATATAGAGCATGGTTGAGCATCCGCGGCACCGGCGGCCATCGCAGAATACGGCTCCCATCGATATAGAGATTCACCGATTGATTGAACGAGAAATTAATGCATTAGTTTCTGCTTTTTTGCTTTGAAAACTCTAATGATTGAAGATGAATATGCCCCTTTTTTGGTAAATTGGTAAATATTTGACTTCTATTATCCCCCAAAGGTATGAGCAGAGTCTGATTGGAGGTTTAAAATCTCTCTTCCTTTTTACTCTTCTACTTTTCTTCCTCTTTTATGAGTTAGTGTAACCTGCCCTTTCACGCAGTAGATTTCATGAGTGTTTGAACTTGGAACCAAGTTAGATGCCTTCCTGTGACTTTGATTGAAGGATCTGATTTTGAGCCGAGTTGGGGTCTGCTCGAAGAATTTGAATGCGGCTTGTGACTCCTTGTTATCAATTTCAACCCTGTTCGGATAGAAATTGAATTAAAACCAGTTGAATCAAATTGAGCTATTTTGATCCATTCCAGCTTGAAAATTAAAATGAATGGGTTTGTTTTGTTTGAGATACAAAAAAAGCTCAAAAATACTGCAACTTGTGCAGTCTAAAATTTCATTTATCATTCAAGTAAACTAACTTTTTTTTATATACATCAATTTTGAGCTGATCTTAAGGCAGATCAAGTTGACTCATGTATGACTTAAAATTGGTTCAAACTAAATTCAATTCATGGTTTCTACTTACTGCTCGGCTTGTTTAATTGATATGATCTCAATCCAAGTCAAAAATTCGATTCAATTTTTGAGCGATTTAATGATAATCGAGCTAAAATCTCAACCCATATTTGATGTTTGGTTTGATGCTCACCAAAATCAATATTAAAAGTTATTTTCCATAGCTATCAGCATTAATCTTTCGAATCCCTGCCATTCTATTTTTTATTTTTATTTTTATTTATTTTTTTAATTTTTTTAGAATCTCTATCATTTTAATTACGTTGGTGCCATTTCAATTTCCTCTTGCTTTGCATCTACCAAACCACATTGGCATCGCAACTCCTATAGAATTATAAAAGGGGTATCTGCATAGATACCTCCCCATTCTTATGTTTTTATATATTTAATATGTAAATTTATTTTTTTACATTTATATCACCCAAGCCTTTTGTATAACATTAAAATATCTTCATTTTAACTTCTAAAAAATAAAATATACATTAAAATAAAAACAGCTATGGATCTTTAAATATCTATTAATGTATTAAAAATTTAAGAAACTTGCGAGGCATGTGCTCGTATAACTACATTTAATCCATTGCCAAGTGCAAAAATGTGAATTGATCAATTGAGTTCACATAAGTGATGTATTTATTTGGATGAATTGTTCAGAAGCTTCTTTATTTTAATATTCTTCAAGTGTACATAAAGTGACATTAAATTAGTAAGGGAGCCCAGCCGACTCGAGCTCTGCTAGAAAAGTGACTCATGCACTGAGGTCAATGTGCTAACAATCCAAGCCCAAGCTACCCCGACTTGATTCATTAGCTCGTGAGCTTGCTTGTTTAAAACAACATCAATATAAAATATACTCAAATTATATTAAATTTCAATAATTTATCTTTGAACTATAAAACATATTGAGAAGATGATATTAGGTATTTTTTATTATGTAATTTCTTTTTATTTATCTTCTAATTTCTCATTATTTTTGTTAGGTATTGCTCATATACTAGATAAGAGACACATGTTGGAGCGGAACGGAGCTCGAGAGTGGAGTGGAGTAGAAGCATTCATCCAATCGGGGGAGTTTTGTTATGTGGGTTGGGGGTGCGGGGGCAACGCTGCTGCGCTACGGTACAAGGGTAATTTTGTAATTACATATTGTACGTCAGCGGTGTGTGTGTGTGTGTGTGCGTGTGTGTGTGTGTGTGTGTCTATATATATATATATATATATAGTTTAAAATCTAGGAAGTTTGTCTCTTTTTCTGAATTGAAAGAAAAGTTGTCGCTCTGCTCCTGAGGACGTAGATAAATTGTCGAACCTCGTTAAATCTCTGTGTTTCTTTCTGGATTTGCGTCAATTCTCTTTTCTTTGCCCTAAAATTCTCAACAAGTGGTATCAGAGCGAGGCTCTAGGGTGGAGGAAATTGGCGCAGGAAGAATGAGGAAGGATTCGGCGATTTGGCAGAAACGTTCGGCTAAGGCTTTCAGAATTTGGCGAAGGGTTACAACCAAGCGAAGGATTCGGTTTTTTTGCAACCCGCGGAACAAATCGGTGTTTTTCGCAGAGGATTTTGTGGGTTATTCACACCGAGCAAGACCTTCGGCGATCGAGACAAAGGAAAGTGATCGGTGGATTCTTCCGTGAATTGCAAATCGCGACAGGTAGTTTGGTGAAGGATTTTGTACGAAGAAATTTGGGCGTGCAATTCGGCAACTGAGACAAAGGAATTCACAGGAAAAGTTCGCGGCAGGAGTAATTTGAGATGGCTTTGTCTGGTTCAAAATTTGAAGTTGTGAAGTTTGATGGAACTGGTAACTTCTAATTGTGGCAAACAAGGGTAATTTATTGGCGCAACAAGGGATCTTAAAGGCTCTGCGGACAACAAAACCATATACCATGGAGGATTAAGATTGAGAAGAATTGCAACAACGGGTGACAGCAACCATATGTTTATGTCCGACATATGAGGTTATATATCACGCAAAGAATTTAAAATCTTATGGAAAGATATAGAAGAAATTGGAAACTCAGTTTATGTCCAAATCTCTAATAAATAAATTGTATCTGAAGCAAAAGTTGTATAGGCTGAAGATGCAAGAAGGCTCTAATCTGGTGCAGCATGTGAATGTCTTCAATCAAATAATTACAGATTCAACACGACTCGATGTGAGTATTGAGGATGAAGACCGAACAATGATTTTGTTGTGTTCATTTCCTCCCTCTTATGAACACCTGGTGACTACTCTTACATATGGAAAAGAAACAATCAAAGTTGATGAGATTATTGCAGCATTATTGGCTCACAACCAACTGAAACAGAATGCAAGGGAAAGCTCTCATGGTGATAGTTTATGTGTTAAGGGTAATCAGGATCGTGGAAGAAAGAAGAGGGGGGTTCTGGAAGACAAAATTTCAAATCAAAGTCTAAATGCAGAAAGACGATTCATTGCTACAAGTACATTCATTGTTACAAGTGCAAGGTGTCGGATCATATGAAGAGAGATTGTCCAAAACTCAAGAAACAGACTAAGAAAAAACATGAAGAGAGATTGTCCAAAGCTCAAGAAACAGACTAAGAAAAAATGTGATGCATCATCCAAGTTTGTAAATGCGGTGTAGAGTGACAATTCAAATTGCATTTATTCAAACTTCTTTTAGCAGAATAAGGGAGAGTGAAGCTCCTTCGTCATTCTTGTCTTACTAGTCAGCAAGCCTCTCTACATTGAAAGATGTTGTAGTGACTACCCTCTTGCTATGAAGATTGTACTTGACTGATAATATTGCTTCTATTCCATGAGAAAGCCTGTGTGGTGTTTGCCCGGTTGCTGATGAAGGAGTGGTTTGGATGGCCTAAAGGACAGATGAAAGCAAGTTTGTTTGATTACTCCCAACACCCTCAATCTTTTTCTTTAGCTTTTTTATGATGATTTGGTTTGTAGCCCCAGCTTGACCATTTGTCGATGGGTGAAGCATGGATACAAATTTTAGGTTGACCCCATAACTCTGATAAAGTCCCTAGCCCCTTGATTGGCAAACTGGGTTACGTTGTCTGTTATGAGTATTTTGGCTAAACTATACCGACAAATAATATATGTTCAGTTGAAATTTCAGACAACCTTTGCAGTAATTCAAGCCAGAGCTTTTGCTTCAAATCCTTTAGAAAAATATTCAACGACAACAAAAAGAAACTTTTGTTATCCTTTCGAGGGTGGAAACGACCTAAGTATATCAAGTCCTCAAACAGTGAAATGCCATGGGCTTATAATTGGTTGCAATTTCTGCGCTGACTGATGTTGCAATGGAGTGCATTTCTGACACTGCTCGCAGCTTCAAGAAAATTATTTTGTGTCCTTCCTTCAAGAGGGTTGACTAGAAATAACCTTGTCTTTGCACATGATGAGCTAAGGAATTTTTGCTAGAGTGACTTCCACATTCACCAATATGTACTTCCCAGTGGATCTCTTCCACCACATTTTCTCTTACACACCTTAGAAGCAATGAAGTGGTTAACCTTTGAAAAAGTGCAACTCCGATTAGGCTGTACTGGGTGACTTTGAACTTGAACCTTAGAGGGTTTGTCACCTCCTCAAGGATCTTCCCCATGTTGAGGTAGTGGACGTAGGGATCTATCCAACTTTTCACATCCTTGGTCTCAACCTTCTTTACTTCTGACTCTTCTATAGTTGGTCAGAAAAGCCTTTGTGGTGCCTTATATTTGAAGCATGTGTTTTTTAATAAGAGGTTCACCATTTGGTTCTCCTCTCACCCTACATGCTCAATTTAGAAGCTTTTGAACTTCCTTATCTCCGTCTTTGCTTTGTTTAAATACTTGATTATCATTTTATCTTGAGCTTTAAATTCTTCATTGAATTGATTGATAACAAGTTGGGAATCTGATTTTGTTGCTAAATTTCAAACACCTATTTCATGGGCTAATCGTAGTCCAACTATCAGCACTTTTTTACTTCGCTTGATTGTTTGTGCCCTCAAAATGTACGATGACTGAAAGATAGAGGTGCTCTCTGGTTGTCGTAGATTTTATTTGGAAGCCACAACACAATATTCTCCCGACCAGCTCATTTTTCTATCAAGTATTAAGATCTAATTACCTCTCAATATTGTTAGTATTATCTTTGTTATGTGGATGTTATTTGGAAGCCACAACACAATATTCTCCCGACCAACTCATTTTTCTATCAAGTATTAAGATCCAATTACCTCTCAATATTGTTAGTATTATCTTTGCTATGTGGATAACATTTGCTCGGACATGTCCATCTGAATCTTCTTCTGCAGATGCCTTCTTCTTCCACTGAGTATGAACTTCAGGGGCCACAAACTCCTTGAGCTTTCTGTCTCGTATCAATTTTTCAATCAAGTTGTAGAGGTATCTACACTCCTCCTTATCATGGTTTGGTCAATATGGCACTTAAATTACTTGTTCATATTTTGAAGACGGCCTTCTGTTCTCATTGGTGGAGCCTTTCAGAAATACTCCTTGTCCTGGATAACCTACAATAGTTTTGTCATCGAAACCATCAGCTGAGTGGGTCTCGATGCCTTCTGATCTTCGATTGAACAATCGTTTGATCAGCTTTGCTTTCAGGAATTTTGGTCGGGATACCTGTTTCTACCGCTAACCGACCTCTTTGACATTTAGGACGAGGGCCATCTTTCTCTCTCCACCCATCATCCTATGAACCTTTTTTGTCATATCAACCACTGGACTTCTCGCCTTTTGAGACAGGCGGGTTCATGTACTCCTCTACTACGATGTGTTCGTTGACTAACTCTAAAAGTTCAGCCAAAGTTTCAACCTTTCGCGAACTTAGGAAATATCTAAAACTCACACTCTTCAGCCTTTATGTCAGGGCAACATTAGCGATTGCTGCCTCTAAGTTCCTCACCTTGAGCATCTCCTTCTAGAAACGTAAGTCTATAGACTCTCATTTGGTCTCTGCCTCACAATCCTCAAGGATTTTAAATTCTCGCGGCGTTTCTGGGCACTAGCGAACTGCACCGTAAAAAACTTCTTGAACTATGTGAAGGAATTTATAATACCAACACGAAGTCCATTAAACCATCTATGTGCCAAATCTCTCGTGGAGGTGTAGAACTATCGACATTTTAATATGTCAGAAATCTTGAGAAGGCAGATGACCAACTCAAAGGATCCAATATGGTCGGCCAAATCACTTTGGCCTTTATATGATACTAAGGAGGGAACCTTGAACGTTTATGAGGGTTTAGCTTCAACGATGTGCTAGGAGAGTGCTTTCTTCAGTCGACGTTAAAAATCAATCTAACACTATTTTGGTTCAGAGATTCCTTTATCTGCTCGACTCCTTGAGCCGCCAGTTGGCCTTGAGGTTTGTTCAACGATGTGCTAGGAGAGTGCTTTCTTCAGTCGGCGCTAAAATTCAATCTAACACTATTTTGGTTCAGAGATTCTTTTATCTGCTCGACTCCTTAAGCCGCCAGTTGGCCTTGAGGTTTGTTTTTTTTTAGGATTATGCTGTGGGAGAGGTTGCGCTCTCCTCTCCAGTACCACTTTCCAAAATCTGAACCACCATCTGATCATGGAGCTCATGAATTCGTTGTTGCATGAATTCCTTGATGGACTCCATGTTAGAAGTTTCTCCTCTGTGCGTTCCTTCTCCATTATGCGTTCCTCTTTCTGTTAAAGACATGACTCAATGCTCACCGCACCTTTTAGGATATTGAATTTTAGAATTTCCTTCAGATCATGCTCAAGGAATAGAGCATTGCTCGGATGAGAGGAATAAAAAAAGAGATTAAAAGACAAAGAAAATCACAAATAGAACAAATTCTTTGGGAGTAGATCTAGTAGTCTTTAATGTAGAAATGAATATCCTATTTACAGATCATAGGAATAGACTAGTGAATTAGATGATTGTCTCTAACTTAATGAGAAAGTTATAATACATTTATGAACAATTACATCCTTACATATTTGTAACTGACCTTGACATCATTTGACCCTAGTAACTGTCATTGGCGACATTCCATATATGTATCTGTCTATGGTGTCATTTCACATTCATAACTACTCGGATTGATTGTTTAGCTCTCTCTCGGTCAGGTATAATCATTCAACCAACTGACAGATGCTCGATCGATTTTTTCGAGGGGGTCCCATTAGAAAACCCGTTGTCTTTAGGAAGGGTTATTCTATCAAGCAGATGGAGTGTCACCGTAATTTAATAGACAACCTTTCTTTAAGCAATAATTCTTCATAGAGGGTCAGAAGAAGTTCTACTACGTGACCATTTATCTTGTGCAAACTTCTGTATCAGTTTAATTGCCGCTAGTCTAGGCACGTGACGTTCTTCGGTTCAGAAAAATATTCATTTGATTGGCTCATGATTCGTCCGACTATAATATCGCTAGCTGATTTCAACTTCTGTTGCCCTTTCCTGGTACGTTGGATTTCCATAAGATCCATGTAATTGCATTTCATCTGTATCAGTTTAATTGCCGCTAGTCTAGGCACATGACGTTCTTCGGTTCAGAAAAATATTCATTTGATTGACTCACGATTCGTCCGACTATAATATTGCTAGCTGATTTAAACTGCTGTTGCCCTTTCCTAGTGGTACGTTGGATCTCCATGAGATCCATGTAATTGCATTTCTGCATTTCAGATGTTCATTATGTATTTACATAAGTAAATTTAAAACTTTGATATTTATATTTGTAACATTTTAATCTCATAAATCCCCACATTAAAATTTATATTTTAGTTAAAAAAATATAATGATGATGATATTTTGATATAATATTAAAGATTTGTGAAATATTCAAGTGAATATGAAAGTTTCGATGTTGGATATTTAATTATATAAAAACTTTGTGAAATGTATATAAATATCTCTTTAATTTATTAATTTTTAAATATTAGATCTCAAAGCTCAGTAGGCTTGGCACAAATCAGGATTTGTTTAAGATCATATCTATTCTTCTTATATTTTTAATTACAAATTTATTTAAAATGTTTTTAAAATCTATTTTTATTTATAAAACAAATTAATTTGACTTTAAAAATACTCAAATTAATATTGAAATATTTTGAGTGTTTTTATAAATTAAATTTTCAAATATGGAATTTGAACAATTCTTATAAATTTATCTATATATTTAAATTTTGATTTTTACATGAAGAGCACTTTTTTCTATGTATGAAAAGGATGAAAATAGTAATCCACTTTTTCATATCTTAGGGTTCTAATCATATAAAAATAAAATTTAGATATAAAATAAGTAAATGCATAAAATTAAATGCTCTATATGTAATTTTTCCTTATTATTATTATTATTATTATTATTATTATTATTATTATTATTATTATTATTATTATTATTATTATTATTATTATTATTATTATTATTATTATTATTATTATTATTATTATTATTATTATTATTAACACGTACTAATATTTGTTCGTTCGTGTTCGGCTCGTTTTGGCTCGAAATATTACTAAAGATGAGTAGTATTTTTTTAAAAAATAATTGACTACGGGGCTACAAAGATTTATGATCAATTAAAAGTATTAAATAAGAAAATATAATAAAAATTATTATATTAGATTCAAATGATGCTTTAAATATTGTATCAATCCTTAAAATCTTATGACTATGTGATTAGGGTTGTCAAAATGACTCTTTGTTTGTGAACGACTCGTGTTCAGCTCGCTAAGTAAATAAGTCGAACACGAACACATTTTTTGAGCTCGAAATATAAATGAATCGAACATGAGCTGAGCCTGAGCTCGCTCGTGTACTTGCTCAGCTCGCCTGTTAATTATTATTATTATTATTCATTCTTTTATCGTGGCCGAGCACATAGGCCAATGCGTCGGTGCTTTTGAGTACAGTTCTGCACTGGGAAGTGAATGCAATTGGCTGAGGGATCTGAAGAGCCGGATAGTGCGATCCTTGTGAAGAACCCAGCTGTAAATAGGGAAAAAAGGGTAATTGCTGCGAGAGTTGGGGTTTTAGCGATGGTTTTGCTGCGGGTTTCCTAGGGTTTAAGGTGAGGAGATGCCATCGGAGGAGAAGGTGGTCGCTAGAGGGAGGGGAAGAAAGAAGCAACCGACCTTAGAATGCTTAGCAACAACCTTGAAGAAGAAACGTGGTAGGAAGCCACGTTCTTCGTCGCCGCCGCCACCTAATCCATGCCCGTTATCATTCTTTAAAGTATTGATTGGTGATTTCCATGAAGTTTTGGTATGCGTGATCCTCTTCTCTTGCACTCTTTTCCACCGCCATTGTCTTTGTTTGCTACTATTTTCGTTGAACCTTCTCCTCTTCTTATATATATATATATATCTGACAGAAATAATATTTTGATGTTTTCCAAGTTCTGTTTCTCTGCTGATGAAATTATTAGTGCAATGATGTTGGAATTATTTATTAATGTAAAAAGAATTTATAACAGGAATTTATGTTGGCTATTGAAATTATTTATGGAATATTATAATTTGTTTCTATTATATATCTTGTAGTAGGAATTTTTATTCTTGGAGAATCTTGTATTGGGTTAGGAGCAAGTGCTGTTTCCCAGCTATTAATTTTTTTTTTTAGCCAGATTTATGAGTTGAAGAGCTTATTTGGGAGTAATGATGCCATGGTATTTGTTACACACATTGGTAGGTAATTATTGATATGCTTTGCGGCATATGTTAGAATTTGTTCTGCTTAATGTTGTAATTGGATCCTGGTTATTTTCATGCTTTAAATAAGAAAATGACGATTTGGTGGGATTGATGGAGTTGTCAGAGAGACTTTTATTTAAATTGGATGAGGAAGAAGAAGTGGAATATGTTATCTTTAGTTTGAGGGGTTTGGTTTTGTCAACCCAGCAAAGAAGTCCCATTCGTCTTAAACTTCTTACTTCTTAAGAAGCAAACGCTTGATGCTTCTTACAACAACAGCACGAGTTTGTTAGTGGATACTAGAGTTATTGAATGAGTCGTTGCAATATAAATATCTTAACGTTAATTTAATAGAATACCTTTTCATAGTTAATATTTTTCTTTGGTTTCTGAATCTATGAACTAGGAGCCGGAGCATTTTGTGTAGTAAAACGTTGAAATCATTTACGGGTTGCTCCTCTGTGTCTAATTTGCATCATTTTTGCTATTATTTTTTTAGATTGTGTGCACTGAAATTTCTAATGCCAGTGGCTTAATTAAAAGATCTGAGTTAATTTGAAATAAATTTTATATTTCTGTTTGGCTATGATTGGGATGCTTGTCACCTACGTAGATGTGGTTTTTAACATTGGTCTTCATCCTTTACCTATGCAGTTTATTCCACCCATGGCGGCTTGCATCTTGAAAGGATTGGCTAAAAATTATGTATTTATTAAAGATATTGATGGAAAGATTTGGACTGTGAAGATCTCAATTGTGGACGGTTCATTGGCTTTTCAAAATGGTTGGCATGATTTTGTCTCAGACCATTCTATAACAGTGGGGGAGTTTGTTCTATTTACTTACACTGGTGGATTACTATTTACTGCACGAATATTTGGGACTAGTTCCTTGGAGAGAGTAAACTTTCAAATGAAAAGAAGAAAGGGAAAATGTGCAAAAGAAAGATGTGCTTCTGATTTAAAACTTGTTAATATTACAATTCCTGAAAGGCAAAAAAAAGTATCACAATCATCAGAAGAGAAACATAGCCCATCCGGCACTGAAGCACTGAAGTTCTGAAATGGGCACTGAAGTTCTGAAATGTTTAAAGAGGAAAAAAATGTCTGCTGAGTTTGATTTCCCTAAGGCTCTCATGATTGAAAGTGATTCTAAGTCGGAAGGGGTTCTGGAACTTTCAAGTGCAGGTGAGAAACCTCTTTACGACTCAAACCCCAAAAAATCGGATATCACAGTTCATGATTCTGAAGAAACATTTCCTAGAAATAGTGATGCGATAGTTGGGGAACTAAATGCGATTTCTCCCACTGAGGTTGTGAATTCAGACATAGAGAACATTGACGTAGTTGCAAGTAAAATCATCAGAAACACGATGAACACAACAGGGAAAGGAGTTCCTCTCCTACCATCAAAACAAACAGTAGAAGAACCCGATGCCATGACAAAAACTGCTACTTGGGTTGTTAAAGCACATTCTGATATTAAAGAGGAGTCGGTTGAAATGTGTGGCTCACTAATGCAGCTGAACAAAGAGCATGATGAAATGAGAAACAATGAAAAAGTAGACCAAGAACATTCATATGACCATGAAATGCTCGACTGTGAGCTGCATGATGACAAAATGGCTTCTCTAACTAATCTTGAACATGCAGAATGTAGTCTTAAAATGGGGTTTAATAAGATAAAACCTGAGGGAATTGCTGATTTTTTCGTTTCAGCAGATGGTATATGCCACACTACTCTTGATGAAAAATTAATAGAGCTGGCAACTGGACCTAGCTGCAACACAAATGGACATGAAAAACCTTTATGCCAAAATGATCATGCTACTTTTCATCTGGAAACTGGTGTACCGTGTGAAACTATCTCAGCAGTTTCCTCCAACCCCACATTGGACCACACCGATGAGAAGAACATAAATTTGCTGTCTATCAGTGAGGAATATGAAGTTCCTCAGACCAAAGGTAGCTTGGGCTACAATATCGCAATCATGGTGCTTCTAATTCAGCAAAGAAATGCTTTCTCTGATGTCAAGTTCTCTAAAGAAATCTTTTTACTAGAACGATCGCCTTCATAATTGCTTAAATGTTCATTTATTAGTCGTATTGTGAGATACAAGGAAATCAGTTGATGTTGATATAAATAGCTGCTGATCTGCACACTAATTACTATATCTCGGTTTATAACAACTCATTTCAAATATGCAGCTTTTTACTCATTTGTAAACCAATTATACCAGAACATGTACTAAGTCTCTATCTCCAAGATCGTGCAAGATATACAAAAAAATTGATGTTCACCTTTCTGTCTAAATGGAAAATATGCTGTTCTTGTGTAAATGAATTTGCAAACTTCACATAATATGTAAATTGGTCTCAGGAATGGATACCTAGTTTGCTAAACATGGCATGGACATTTTTTAACGGGCACGTTTGTTTTTCTTCCATAATTTTAAGCCTTCTGATGAAAATATTATCTTTCAGGAAGTTCTACAATAGCTGAAAGTGGCCTGCAGAGCTGCAAAAAGTTTCCTGAATGCTTTGTTAAAGAAAATGATCGGCAAACGGGTGATTTGTTTCTTGCTTTTAGAATTTCATGCTTTTCAGATAAATTACAGAACATTTAATTGTTCCTTCAACGATGGGTTCTCATCCGAAATTGTTTTGCTAATTGTTCAGGCTGTGCTCATGATGCCTTTTTTGATGAGGATGAAAAGAATGTTACCCCCTGTTCTAGTTGGATATGTAAACTCAAAACTGATAGAACAGATTCAGCTGACATTCCATCTTCCAGTTGTGTTAGTTTCAGCGTTTGCTTATCTGATGATGTTCAGTCCTCCCTTGTGAGTACATCCTTGGAATATTTTAATATGACTATTTCCAAGATGATAATTAATTTCTTAAATAAGATTAACACCCATGATTTATTGTTTTACCCTCTCCTCATTATTAAGCTGGAGGGTACGGCAAGTAAGCTTTGTAGTACCGCACTTTTGGATGTTATTGTCAATAATATTCCGTTGCATCTTCTGCTTATACTTTTGATAGTAATTTTTAATATCATAGAGCACTATTTGAATAAACTTAAAAAGGGCGTTGGAAAAGAAAATGTTATATGATTCAAGTACCATCTAAGTATGAACTTCAAGCATGAGTGTGCCATCATGAATGTCTTAGTGTAGGCTGCTTAGTAAAATCTAGTTGAATAGCTAATATTTTTTTATTTTTTTTGAAAAAGGGTCTTTCTATGGAAAACCATTGTGCTTAAAAGTAAAGGTTATTTTCGAAAATTTTGAAGCCAGATGTATCACACCATCAATTTTGTTTATATCATGCACCATTTATTGAGGATTGGTTATTAGTTAAATAAAATTGGCAAAAAACCATCTTATGACGACGCCCATTTAAAAAAAAAGTTACCCAAATTTTAATAGATCTCCTTACGCTGTTGTGGAACAATTTTTTTGTTTTTTGGATGGTTGCATTGTCATTAGTCGGCCAAGAAGTTTGGAATTATTAAGGCAAAAATGTAGGACAGAAATCAAAATTTGGCTAATAACTTTAGATGATGACAACAACAACAACAACAAAAAGCCTTCATCCCACTAAGTGAGGTCGGCTGCATGAATCCTTTTTCTTCGTTGTGCCCTATTGAGTGACATTTTCATTTAATTCTAATAAATTAAGATCATTTTTTATACAATATGCCCTAGTCTTTTTTAGCTCTATCTTCGCCTTCCTTAACATAAGTCAAATCTAAAACATCTACTCTCTTAACCGAATCATCAGATAGTTGACGTTTAATGGGACCAAACCATCTAAGATGACTCTCTCTAATTTTGTCCGCCTCTGGAGCTACACTAACCCTATCACGAATATATTCATTTCACATTTTGTCTCTAAGTTTAAAGCCACTCATCTACCTAAGCATTCTCATCTCGGCAACACTTAACTTAGTTTGATGCTTCTCTTTTAAAGGCCAACATTTTGCACCATAAAGCATTGCAGGTCTCACCACCATCTTATCAAATTTTCCTTTCAGTCTAAGCGTTACTTTTCTAACACACAATAGGCCTGAGACATTCCTCCACTTCAATCAATCTACTTGAATTCTACTAATAACATTCTCATCTTAATCACCATCACTTTGAACAATAAACTTGAGATATCTAAAGCGTTCACATCTTTTAATAATTTGATCACCCATATTTACAACTCGGTCACTAGAGCTAGTACCACTACATTCCATGTATTCAGTTTTAGTTCACTCAAATGAATGCCTTTAGACTCCAAAGTAGACCTTCATAATTCAAGTTTTTCCTGAACTTTTTCTCTAATTTTACCCACAAGAAGGATATCATCAACGAAAGCATACACTAAGGTACATCCTCTTGTAAATGTCCAGTAAGTGCATTCATAACTAAAGCAAAAAGATAATGGGCTTAAAGTTGATTTTTGATGTAATCCAACTAAAATTGATAAATAATTGGTCAATCCTCCTTATGTTCGAACACAGTAACAACTCTAATATAATATCTTTAATGACTTGAATATAAGTCATATCAACACCTCTCTTCTCTAAAAATCTCCGAATAATATCTCTTGGAACCTTATCGCAAGCTTTTTATATATCAATAAAAATCATATGTAGATCCTCCTTATTCTCTCTCTGTACTTTTTCATCAAACCTCTCAATAAATGTATAGCTTCCATAGTAGACTTGCTCGGCATAAATCCAAACTGATTATGAGAAATCTTTATAATAGTTCTTAATCAATATTCAACTACCCTCTCCAATAATTTTAAAGTATAACACATCAATTTAATTCCTCCGTAATTTGCATACTCTTGTGCATCCCTTTTATTCTTAAAAATGGGGACCAAAATACTCTTCCTCCTCTCCATAGGCATCTTATTAGTTTGTAATATGTCTCAACTTTAGATCACTAAAGAAATAAAATTTAGATATATTCTAATTATATTTGAAACCGGAAAGCAACAACAGCACAATAAATTAATGAGATTTAAACAAAAAAATTGAAATATGAATTTCTCTCATCTTGTGTGGTCATGCAAACGGTACATTGATTATCTTTTAACACTTATTTAATATTTAATTATTAATTAAGCAATATAACGAGCTCTCAAAATATAGTGGGTCAATTGCAATTCTACATCATGGTATTTTAAAGAAATGGGCCAACATTTACGCTAATAATCCTTTTTAATCTATAAGAAAAATCTTATATGTGCTGAACGTTTAAATAATAACTATGATTATCGATGTTACCTGAACTATACACTGAAGAATGGTGTGAAATAATTTATTTTATCGTGTAAGAGTCTAATTATTTAATGAACTCGTGATACTTTTAACTAATATGCTTCTTTAAACTTATACATTTGTCTTATGAGCACCATTTAAATAAAATCTAACTTACCCCTTGCTAATGTGTTCTCCGTCAGCACTGTGGGGCGTAGAACAAGTTCATTACTGTTTGAAGTGGAAAGGCAGTAACTAACCTCTGGCCGATTTACCCCGTTTTGATACAGTGAGGTGTGGGTTTTATTTCTTCTATTATTTGAGGTGGAAGAAAAAATCATCATTGTGTGCGGATACATAATTTCCCAACTAGTTCCATAAGGGTATAACTTTCATTCAATAATGTGCACACGCAAGCATTTGTACATGTATGTTATTTATTTGCATTCATTTCAACATAAAATATCATTGTATGAAAAGTTTCATGTATTTCTATGAGAAACTGAAGTTTTTCTATGAGAAACTAATGTCTTTCCATGAGAAGCTAAGTTTTTCTACGAGAAACTACTATATATTACAAAATAATTACTCATGGGGTTATATTGGAATATGCATTTCATTTTAAAGATATGACTGATCCATTGACAAATTGTTAGAGGTTATTAGACTTGTAACAATACATCATGTGATCAATTAAGAAAATTTAATCAAAGCATACCTATAATGTGCAGCTGATTTAAAAGCATGAATTACTAACTTAACTTAGAAATGTAATAACCCATCTTTAGTTTCACCTTAAGGTCTTGATCTTCACAGATCTAGTTTGGCTTTGCTGTTAACTTGCCCACACACATCACAAATTCAACCTAAAAATCACACATGATATTAAAACTCGTAACCTGCCTATAATTAATTAATTTAAAACCTATGATTTTGTGTCTTGCAAATCATCTACCCTTTTGGCTACTCTTATGTTTTATTTATAGTTATCACATTATAAATATGACTACATATCACGTATATCCTGTACTGTAATTCATTAATTTATTTTAATTAGCTAACTATAATATTTCATATTCCACCGTATATTTAACTTTGTTGAATATCATGCTTCAAGATGTAATTAGAGGAATTTCGCATTATATTACCTATTGCAAATTACATAGCAAATATCTATTAACCCTTTTCTACATAAAAATATAAATCATATAGTTATGCATTGTAAATACTTTATGCATTATTTAATTTCTTCGTGAGAAGATGAACATCAACTCATATAATAATGATTTAATGTTTATATATTTTTTTTAATTTGCTATGTAAGAAAATTGTAATCCTTAGTCCATTCAATTTAAATTATAAAACTTAAAAATTGTTGTTTATCTGAAAGAGAAGTGGATGGCATAGATCTTGTAAATTTTCATTTAAATAAAAATTTAGTCTTTTGAGTTTTCATTTAAATAAAATATTTACATTCTTTCCTTTTATATAAGTATGTATCTCCATTAACAATCAAAACTTCACCTAATAAAGTCTCTAGTAGACTTAGATGAATAAGTCTCTAGTAGACTTAGATGAATTTATTTGCATGCATTCCAATCAAGCTTACCTGTAAACATTTTAATTAGAACAAATTTTCATATTGAGCTTAATTTTAGAAAATTTAAGTTTTTTCATAGATATTAATTTGCAGGCAAATAGAAGATCTTGCATCAATTTATTCTCAATAATCTTTTTTTCCCTAAAAAATGTTAAACTGAGGTTGGCGTTTATCTTCTAATACCTTGGAAAAAAGCTTTCAATGAGTTCGGCCTCATTTTCCCAGTCTACCTTCTAATTGCGAAGGAAAAAAAAGAGACTCTAGCATGGCATTTTAATCAACGTGCCTTCAAGAAAGAGAGCAAAGAAGTTTAAATTAAGTTTTGGTATACTTTTCAACAAATCCTAGCTGAAGAAGAAAATCCTAGAGAAAAAATAATTTCATTGACATCAAACCCTAGCCTTCATGCTTGGAGCCAGATATGAAAGTCTTGTCCCACATGCATGTTTCCGCCCATGTTAGCACTCAGCTTCCCTCTTCTTCCTTATTTGCTTGTTCGCTTTACACTCTCGGTTTGCTGTAGGGCATCCATTCCTTCGTTTCCATCTCTTTGTTCTCTGTTTGCCCCCATGAACTTTGCCTCCCTGTTTCCCTTTTATAAAATTCAATTGAGCTGATGCTAGTTAGTGCAATCACCATTTTTTTAAAATAAGAATTTCAATTAGTAGCTGTGTTTATTTGATAAATAAAATTAATAATTTAAATGCACTCAAGATGAGTATGGTATATGAAATTATTAAATAAATATTATTATTATTATTTATTTCACTTAAAGTAACTATTAGTATTTTACTTAAATTTACTAAATTTGTGTTATTACATGCATTACAATGGACATATGTACCTCTATGAATTAATCATCTCTTAGAAAATTTTTTTCCAGCAAAGTAAAATCTCATGATAAGAAAAGCTAATAACTTTGTCCACATACTCTTACAGCTATATCACTTTTTATCATACATTGCTATGGATTATTGATCCCTTTTTTGAGCTTTATGAGATTGATCATGTTAACTCAAGTCTAATTACAGACTTGTTGTTGTGCTTTTGATATAACGTTACTTTTTCTTTTGAATCTTTCTCAGTATTATAACATTTTGTCGCTATTATTCATTAATTCATAAAAATTAATGTTGTTAATGGGAATATGCTTGAGTTTCTGACATTTGCGCTATTGGCTGCCATGATTTAGTGATCACTAAATAGTTTTTTCTCTTGAATAACTTTGTTTTTTCAAATCTGTGGTCTGCAAGTTTGTTGTGATAAAGCTGATGATAATAATTGTTAGGGTGTTGGATTTTTAGGTGCTGATATTGAAAGGCTTTATATTAAAAAGGTTTATTTTAATATCCACTTAATTGGTAGTATTATTTCCTGTTTTTTTTTGTTTCTTTTTTTAACCTTCTCGAATGCTTGTTTATTGGTTTAACATATTTTAGTTATGAACTGGGATATCCACCTTGGTGTAATGATGTTGTAAGATATCCAACTCTCACGTGTTAGCTTACAAAATTCCTATTTCTTTAGATGAAATATCGAAGCGCTGTTATATTAATTTCTCATTTCTATTGTGAAGCTGAAAATTTTATATCATTTGCAGTCCAAATTATCGATTTGATCTAATATTATTCATTCCACAAGCAGGAATTTCAAAGCAAATTGTCTTGCCAGATAGTTAAATTGAAACACAAAAGGAAAATCGTTGTGCTTCAGGATCCATCCATGAGATGCTGGCCGGTCTTGTATCACAAGAGCAACAGTTTTGTAGGCTTCCTTGGTGGTTGGGTAGATTTTGCGAAAGCAAATAACATTTGCAGAGGGGATATCTGCGAATTCGAACTTATTAATAAGTTGGAATATAAATTTAGAGTGCAGATCATGAAAGCAGAAGGATCTATCTGTGATGAAAAAGTAGCATAAACTAAATCAGATTTCATAATGCATCTTCTATTTAGCAGAAGCAGGTCAGATTTTCATGTGCTTATATTCAGAACCGAGGAAAATTTATGGTACGCTTGTGACACTCCCATATGTTAAATTGTTAGGTTTCTGAATGCTATATTCCTGTGATAGCTTTTGAGAACTAATGTGAATGTTCCATTTTATTATTTTATAATGGAGTTTTTAGTAGTTGTGTTTATTAATGCTCGCATGCTCATTTTGGATTTGAGAGTGTGATAGGAATCTTCCATAGAAATTAGATTAAACACATATTTTTTTGCAAGAGCTTCAAAAATTCAACACAAATACAAATATAAGCACCAACAATTCGAGAGGTAGAATACTTCTCCCAATTCCTTACAATTTGAGAGAGAAAATCTCTTCCAAACGCTAACCTTAAGAGTCAAAACCCAATCTCATGCAGCCTTAACCCTAAACATATTAGGGTCTATTTATACTAAACAATTATAAATAATAAAAAACTTAATTTTTTTTATGTTAAAAAAAGATAAATTACCCCTTAGACACCCACATAACAATACTCCCCTCTCAAAAAGCGCTAAATTTTCTGTGCGGATTCCTGACGTAGCTCTACGTTCTGCGGAGGTTATTCTTGAGTTATTTTCATGTTATTTCTGGGTTATTTTCAATAATCCCGAAATAACCCAAAAATAAAGACTGCGGGTTATTTCTGGGTTATTTCGGGATTATTGAAAATAACTCAGAAATAACCTGAAAATAACTTAAGAATAACCTCCGCGGCACGTAGAGCTATGTCAGGAGTCCGGACAGAAAATGCGGCCCCCAAAAAGACACTTTGTCCTCAAGGTGAGAAAAAATATAGGTGTTCCTCCTCACCCACAACTTCCTCTATTTTTTCTTCTTCCCTCTCATCACATACTTTGAGAACTTGTAATGTTCGGTTTCTGTGATGGTGTCCTGGGATAAACTTCTCATCACACCTAAAATATAACCCCTTGGCTTGCTTCTTCTAGTTCTGTCTCTGTAAGGTGCTTGAGTGTCATTCTTGGTTATTGCTCATAATTTTTGTCTCGTGAAGGCTCACTCTGGACTTACACTATTTGAGCTTTTGGTGTCATCGTAGTTGTAACAGTTTGATATGACACTTCATCTGTGTTGCTCATATTAGCCTATTATATTGCATTATGATCTTCAACCAACTATGCTAATACTATAATTTTTACTAAATTTTGCGGTTTCAATGGATGAAGTGCTATCGTATGTCGAGCATTAGACTGGTAATAAAGTTCCCATTCAATACCGCTTCAGAAATTCCTCTCACTCGCATTGAAAATAGCTCGAATATCTCACTATACTCCTTAGCTTTGAATCGATGCAGAATTGTTATGTATGTCTAATTATAAAATGGCTCAGAAACGTTCCAGCAAATAATCATTAAATTCCTCACAAGAGAATATGATATTAGCTTCCCCCAACCAGAATCAAATTAGGGCTTTCCCTTCCAAACACAACCCTGTTTAGCCCATTCACTGTGAAAATTGCTCCACTAGTTTTTTTCACCCATGTGTCTTCTCCCTTGAAGAACAGTATCTTGAACTTTCTTATGTGAAGTCTCCTCCCCAACTCTCTCAATCAAAGTTCATTCTGCCTATGAAGCGGGGATTGGGTTCCATTCGACGACTCATATTGAATTCCCTATTTCCATACCTCTGGCTCGCCCCATAGTCAGCACGCTTGTTCCCATAGGCTCTTGCTTCGTCTTCTGCTTGGAAGATTGTTGTGACAATAAGTGCTAGCTCAATTGAATACAGTCCTCTGCGGGTCTCCCACCCACCGTGTTTCCTTATTCCAAGCCAAAGTCCTTCGAATTCATTTTCTCCAACCTTGAATTGCATGTCGTCCCATTCCGCTTGTTGCTGCGCGTTCCTACTGTCTGAATGTCACCTTATTCCTTCCAAGTGCTGCCACTCTAGTTCGCTTCTAACGATGCCGCTCAATCCCACTACAGATGACAGGTTTGCATGATACTCAACAAGTTTCTTCATTATTTCTTCTAGAGTCCTAAATCTGCTCTCTATGGATGAAAATCACCCCTCTATGGACGTAAATCGCTCCTCATCAACGAGAAATGCTCATTTATTTTAGATGTGATTTGGCTCACATGCTCCTCCAATTTTTCCTCCAAATCATTTTTTTTTGTCGCCTTTACTTGTCATTTTCGAAACCTGTATGTCGCAATCCCATAGTTTGTTTGAATTTGGACTGTTTTTCTTGGTTTGATCGCTTTCAGCTGGCTCAAATTATGACTTTCCTATGATTAAGAAGCGGCTTGAATCTCGATGCTTCCCATCAAGCTTAACTCTTCGGTCATTCATAGGAAATGGAAAATTTGCCATCGCCTTCCCAGCAAGCACATGAATTCCGGGTCTCTGTACGTCGTGATCTTAAAAATAGAGTAGGAGGAGGCGAAAGATGGAGTTTCAAGCCGCTGTAGGTCACAATCCTATCAGACCTTCCCATCTGGCTCTGATCGCGACTGTCGGAAGCGGGTGAAGGCGAAAGATGGGAGTTACATCTCTCTGTTTTGGTCACAACGGAGATGTGCGGTTCCTTCCTAGGCTTCCCATGTGGGATTCGATCGCGACTGTATCACGGTCACAACGGAGATGTGCGGTTCCTTCCTAGGCTTACCATGTGGGATTCGATCGCGACTTCAATCGCGACTGTATCATGAGGTTTCCTAGCTAGTTATGACAATATTGTGAGATTCACCTCTTCCCAGCAAGCACGTTACTGTATTGCGACTATTTGCACACCTCGATTTTGCTATTGCTTCCCAGAGCTTAAATCACAATTGTATCTCGAGGTTTTGTGCCGAATGTCACAGACTCCTGTAGCCAATAGTACAGTCGTTGATTCCTCTGGAACTAGGAGCTCTGATACCAATTTGAGAGGAATCTTCCATCGAATATAGTGCAAACACATTTTATTGCAAGAACACCAATAGGGACATCTAACAATACATTCTTTAATTCCTCTGGAATTAATAGCTCTGATATTAATTTGATAGGAATGTTCCATAGAAATTAGGGCAAATAAATACGTTACTGTAAGAACATTAAACATTCAACACGAATATATATTTAAGTTTTAAAAATAGGGACTAATAACACCGTGGTGTCATAAGCTTATGCATGAAGAGATGTATTTCAGTTTTAAAAATTGCGATGGTGGTATTTTCAATGTGACATTAAAGAGTTTGCAGTATGCTTCTAATTATGAATGTTTAGATGTTAAATATGTAAATACATTAGAATTGTGAGGTCTGCATATATGTAAATGTCACTTTTTCCAGGTTTACAATGTTAAATATGTAAATAAATTTGAATTGGGAGGTGTGTATTTATGTAAATGTCACTTTTTTCAGGTTTACCTGTGAAATATTGTTGGAAAATCATGATCTTGCAAGTATTCCTTCTCTATGATTTTATTAGCTTATTAACTGAACACTCATCCATTAAGAAATTATCTATTTTTGTCTTAACGGAGACAAAAATTTGTCCTCTTTGGTACACATTCTTAAAAAAAGATGTCCATTTTAAACATCAACCATTACACTGATAGGTATTGAATGTTCGTTTTTTGCTTTAATTTACTCTATGGTCTTCTACAATATTTCACTAATTAAGGAACATATTTTCTCATCCCTGATCTTACACACTGATTTTGCACAGCCAGGATCTTCAATCAGGCCAGATGGCTCGTACGAGTTCAAGAGATGACTCTTCCTATATAGCACTTTATCCCAAATGCGTTTAAAGAGGTGGCTTTTCTGATGTAGATTGTTTTTTTTGGCTGCACTCTTATTTTTGGTGGTTTTTGTTTTTTATTTTTTGGTGTTTGGGAGTTGTGTTTTAATGTACTTAAGATATCTTCTATGGTTATTTAATGATGATATTTACTTATCTGTAATGCTTTCTTAGCAAATTTGGGTCCACTCTTATTTGGGTCGACTCTTAGGCGCTGTTTGGTTCGGTTTCTGCTGCGCGGCGCGGCGTGCGACCGCTGCTTCGTCCCGCATTCCGGTGTTTGGTTCGGCATTTCGCGGCAAATTGTTGGCGAAGCGGATCGATCCGCGGCTGCGGTCCCCGCTTTCCTCTTACCCATTGTCCCGCTTACCCCTTTCGTTTCTCTGCAGCCCTAACGAGTTCCCTTGCGGCTCTCCTTCGTCCTCTTGCTTCGTTGCCCCGCGATCGACAGATCTGAGGTATAACGAGCATTTTTCTTCTTCTAATCGCAGATTTGAGGGTTCTTTACGATTTTTTCGAGTGTGATGTTTTCTCTACTCCTATCCTTCCTACTTCGGCGATTTTTTCTTCAACACATGGAAAAAACGACTGTGATGTTCTTTACCCCTTTCTTTCATCACTAGGGTTTTGCCTTCTCTTTACCTTCTCCTTTAACGCATTCTTGTTTGGTGGCTGACGGCTCAAGGTTGGTCGCAGATTGTGGTTGTGGTGGTTGATTCATGTGTAGTGGTAGTTGTTAATGCAATTAGTAGTGTGAAGTGCATAGATGACAGTGCATATGAGCTGTCGAATTGATGTGGAGTTGGCTTGTTAATGTCATGATACCTTGCTCTTCTTCCTCCGAATGATGTTGAGTTGGGTTAGGAGGGGGATTGATCATTCCCTTCTTCTTTTGCTTGCGATCAGGAAGTTGTGTTTTTAATTCCATCTACTATTTTCGTTTTCCCCATTCTTTACTTTGACAGTGAACATACATTTTCGAAATCCCCTGTTTGGTTCGGCTTCTGCTGTATCTGCTTTGATGTTTTTGGAGAGTGCAATTGCTTTTGTGGAGAGTGATATGCTCTTCGTGGTGTGGTATTTTTGGAGTGCATCTGCATTTTTGATTCCAGTGGAGAGTGATATGCTCTTCGTGGTGTGGTATTTTTGGAGTGCATCTGCATATTTGATTCCAGCATTCTATTACTTGCTGTTTTTTCGAGCTTGTTGATTACTTATCTGTTGAGGCACTTAGGAAAAGGTGTAATAACATTTTGTTATTGATGTGTTCTTGATGTTTTTTCGACCTATCCACTATAAGACCTATTAATTGATATGTTCATTGGAGGATTGAGAAATCTCAAGGAAAGGTTGTATCAATGGAAGAGAGCTAGCCACTATAAGACCCCTGGAATTACTTAACTTGTGCATTACATTCTATAGCTTGCTGTTTTTGTTTGGTGGGTTCGGTTGTTGGATGGATTCGGTTGTTCCCACGAATTTCTTTTTAATTATTACATAGGTTAGGGATTTCAATGAATGTTCATCTATCTAGGGGCTATTGGCTCTGTTTAGATGCAATCATCTTGTGGGTGCTTTGGTTACATGTGCTGAGTTTCAGTAGAGGCTCATTTTTCGGCTAACATTAAGGAGTAGTCTCAAAAAATGTCTTCTTGGCTTTGTTTTGCAAATTCTCAGCACCTTCTTCAAAGGATAATGTTTTGCAACACATATGCATATGAAGGAACTCTGAGACATCGTTTAATGGTACTAATCTTTTACACTGGTAAAAGTGCAATTTTTGAGCAAAGAAACAATTGGAATTTCATTTTTCTGGAAAGCGACAGTGTCTTCTTGGCTTTTTGCTCGAT